AGCAAATTGGTCTCTTGGATGGCAGCTAGTCCAGAAGGAAGACTTTGAATTCTAAACTGTGAAGAAAGCAAGGGAGATTACTCCACTATCTTTCCTGTATAATAAAGAAAAGGAATCTGTGGGGAATCTTGATCATCTACATCCTGAATGGACATGGCATCTAAAATAATTTGAAACATAACTAAATAGATAGTCTTGTAATAATTGGTACTTTTCTTATAAAACAACTTTTTTTCATAATTGTTGCTCGAGATACCTAGCTGTGGTTGGTTCAATCTCTGGGTCTGGTAGTGCAAAAATATTATATATTATGGTTTAATGGAAGAGAGAAGCCATAACACAAGCACTTATTATTTAGAAAGCATTAACTGATACAAGGTACCCTTTAGCATTGGACAGTGGAAACTGTGGAGAGTCATAATCACCTGCATCCAGAAGGAACGTGACATTTGAAAAAATATACATAGTACAATATATATTTCTGTGCTGAATAAAAAAAAAAAAAAAATAAAAAAAAAAGGGCATGGCAGATTTGTACAATGAAAAGGACACATGGCACAGTGGATAAAGGTGTTAGTTAGATCCAGTGACAGGACCCAAAGAGTGTGAGTTCAATGCCCGGTTAAGGCAGTGGAGATCTTTCAGAGGGAAATTAACAGGAGATAACTGATAGCTGATATCCATTAAACATGGTACATGGAACTAGAACAGTCTACCCCAGTGAGTGAAATAAAGGGTTCAGTTCGACATTCCAACCACCTGAAGAAGGCCGGAATGTACAACGGCTGAAATGTTGTAATAAATATGGCGACAAAGATGAGGACAATAGTCCAAATAATGTAAATAATGTGAAAAAGAAAAGTCGGTTATGTTGGGTAGATTGAGTGCTTTAAGTCTGAAGTCAGAATTACTTGATACAAAGAATTACCAAAAAAAAAAAGAAAAAAAAAGATAGACAAGTTTTCTTATATTGTTGCCTTAATTTTTGTTTATTCCGTACTTGATTTTATTTATTTAATTGTACTGTATTCATTTTTAAATAGGTAAATGTGTATTTTGTATTGTAATGATCTTTTGTTAGCTTAAACAGTCTGACCAAAATTTGGACTTATTTATACGTATATATTGTGATATTTCTTGTTCATTCACACACTAAAAATAAAAATCGATTTGCTTACTTTTATGGGAAAGGATTGATTGAGGGGAAAATGAAAGGGTTAGGGGAGTGAAATTTGACCAAAGTATCTCTGGGATATGGTCTCGGATTCCTTTTGGCCAAGCAGTCAAGTGACGCAGATGATATTTACTGAGAGAGAGGACAGAGAAGTTTTCTTGTATTGTTTTCTTAATTTTATTTTGTTTAAACTGTACTTGATTTTATTTATTTAAATGTATTCATTTTTAAATAGGTAAATGCATATTTTGGCTTGTAATCATCTTTTGCTAGCTTAAACAATCTGACCAAAATTTGGACTTATTTGTACATATACCTCAGTATAATTCAAATAACACTAATTCCCTACTCAATTTTGTTTTGATTGAGGATTTTTGAACTTAGTATAAGTTAAAACTCAACAGATAATATCATAGCGTCAGTTCTATAACTAAGTCTACCCTAACACATATATTTAGAGCTAGTCTCCATAATATTACTTACTATCTATTTACATTTTCCTGCTTTGGATTGGCCTTCTGGTTCCTTCTAAAGTCTACTCCCAACTCTATACTTCTAACATCTCTTCTTGAACACTGAGATTTGATTCACTAATCTTTGTTTTTTCTCTTTTCCTTCCCCCAATAGGAGTAAATAGGTTTGCCTATTGTCCAATTCACACTCCTTTCTGTTTCAAATCTACACTTCTAACGTCCCAGACTGAACTCTGAAATTTTATTCACTAATTATTTAAATTAATTTTATCTTTGTCTCTCTCTGACCAAATAGGAGTAGATAGGCTTGCCTATCATTCAGTTTATAAAACTCGTCAGTTTTTTGAACAGGGGTAGATGTTTATCCCTTGTTTCCAATTTAGGATTGGGTTTCCGATCTAAAGTCTCCTTCAACTCTATACTTCTCTGTACTTCTGACGTCTCTGCCTGAACTCTGAGATATTATTCTTTTAATTATTTTTTTTTCCTCTCCCAGTAGGAGATAAGTATGCCTATTGTTCGGTTCATACTTCTTCCCAGTCTTTTGTATGAAAGCAGAGGTTTGTCCCCTGTTTAGGATTGGGTTTCCAGTTCCTTCTAAAGTCTACTTCACCTCTATACTTCTGTCTCTGCCTAAATTCTGAATTGTTTTTCACTGATTATTGTTCCTCTTCCCCCAGGCAATAGGAGTAGATACGTTTGCCTATCGACCGGTTTACACTCCTCTCCGGTCTTTTGAACAGGAGTAGAGGTTCATCCCTTGTTTCCAATTTAGGATTGAGTTTCCGATCTAAAGTCTCCTTCAACGCTATACTTCTAACGTCACTGACTGAAACCTGAAATTTTATTTGCTAATTAAATCTTGACCTCTTCAAGTCTAGAATTAGCTATCTTACTAGTTATCTTGTCCTTTCTTACATTAATACAACTCCACACAGTAACACTCTACCATGAGTGGCCTTTGGACCTTGTATTGAGTGAACATTAGTAAAAAACAGAAAAGAAAAGAATCCTTTATTTGCTATGAGAGTGAAATCTATTATTATTATTATTATTTATTTTATTATTATTCATTATTCTTATTTATTATTTATTTTTATTATCATTATTTTTATTATTTATTTTATTATTTATTATTATTTATATTATTATTATTATTATCATCATTATTTATATTATTATTATTTATTATTAATTATTATTATTATTATATCAGATTTAATAGTTGGTGGTTTTGCAGAGATCAAGGGACAAGTGCCCTTAAAATATCTCGCACCCTCCTTGTATGCTTTCTGATTTCAACAGAGCTAATTCGATTCTGTCCAATTTATTTATGAGCACTTGTACTATTTTGGAAACAGCACATGGCACAAGGCCGTTTTTAAAGTGAAGCTCCACACATGCATAAGGTAGAAGATCAAAATTGCACAGCTCTTTTGAAACTTCACTTTGGTATAAACCCTGAACTTACCACATGAAGAGGTTGCCACTCACCTATTACACTTTTTATAACGGGGTTCCTGACAAAGTCAGTTAATGACAATTCTGTTTTGTCATTATCACTTATGATTGAGTAACATCAGATCACTAGCACTTTCTTCACTAATAAAGGGTGTTTCATTAAGACGGATCAAAGTCAGCAGTAAATAAATCCGTGTTATTGGTGAAAATTTATTTTATTTCTCTATTGGATCATGTTATTTAAGTCATGGCAATTATGTGTGAAAAATAATATTGCCCAAATGTTCACCAAGACTTTGGTGGCATGCATCCACTCAATGGTCAAAAATTTTGATGATATCTCTGCATAGTTGCTGCTTGATCTCATCAATATACCTTATTATCTCATTCTTCAGCTGTTGAATTGTTGTTGGCTTGTTGGCATAGACCTTACTTTTGAGATGATCCCAAAAGAAGAAATCTAAAGGTGTCAAGTCGCATGATCGTGATGGCCAAATGATTTCGTTGTTTCGAGAGATGATGCCACCTGGGAACATCTCATTGCATTTCTGGTTGAATGTCTATTTTCATAATAGGCTTCAATAACTTTAAAATGTTGTTTGATTGTTAATCTTTCCATGGTTGAAATTGTCAAAGACTTAAGTTGTTAAACCTGAAAGAAAAAGAAAAAAATCATTAGATGCTTAAACTTAATTCTCATTTAAAATTGGTTCAAGTTATTGGAACACCCTTTATTATCAACTGCTGCCTTTATGTGGTTTTAGATCATCTCAGTTTGCTTGCCCTTCAATAGTATTTTATTTTATTGCAATTATTTTTGAGTGAGACTCTTCCAAGTTCACCAATGATTATGAGTACCACTCACATCATGAACAGTTTCTTCAGTTTTTGGGTAAAGCCTTGATATTTTTCTCCCCTTTTCAGTTTTAGCCTGTATTTTGCCGAAACAGTTGTCAGTTATTTCTTGTTTGTAACAGCAAAATTCTATCTCTAGTTTTATTTTGATTTATTTGTTTTCTACGCCTTTGGAGGGATGCATGGTGGAGTATTTGATAGCGGCTCAGATTGAGGAATCAGAGAGCTGAGTTCAAATTCTAATCAAATACATTATTCACTTAGTGCTAATACCCTTGGAAAAGTATGACTCCACTTCTCCCCCCGCAGGCTATGGGTAAATAGCAGGACAGACCAGGTTCTATAGCCATGGATGGCAACTGGTTTATTGTAGAAAGAAATGGCAACCTACTGCAGGAAAAAAAAAAGTCTGCCTCGTTAATCATGTATCAAAAGATACATGGTCACCTAATCGTGTATCATTCGTGGCATATAACTGATGCCTTTGCAGATTACTTAAACCCAGAAAATATTTTTGGTTATAATATATATATATATATATATACGTACAAGTATAGGATTGGTGTATACAGAATAAATCCCAGTAACCAACAAATACTATTCTTAAAAGAGTGCTCAATACAGAGTAGAGCAAATATAATTATTTATTCGAAAATTATAACATAAACATGTTATAAAATCACTACAAAAATAGCCATTTTGTTTCAACACTTCTGGTGTCTTATCAAGTGATGGTGTTGATCAATAAGACACCAGAAGTGCTGAAACAAAATGGCTATTTTTGTAGTGATTTTATAACCTGATTATGTTATAATTTTCAAATAAATAATTATATATATATATTTTATTTTATTTTTTTTTTTTTTTGAAATAATAATGATTTAGTGATAAAATTATTGATAATTAACCCATAGCTGGGGGGAGAAAAGGTGGATTCATGCCTTTCCAAGGGATATTTATGTATGAATATAATGAACCCAACATGAATTGGAACTCTGCTCTCTGATTAAGAATTCTGAGCCACTGCTATCCATTATAGCACCTGTATACCCAAGTGGTCACCCATCTAGGTACTGACCAGTTTTGACATTGTTTAACTTCAGTGATCATACAGGAACTGGTGTTTCAACATGATATGGTCATAAGCAAAAATCTCTTATAGTGCCTTCAGTTGTAATATCAAAGTCCCAAAGTATTTAACTCTTTTAATTTTAATTTTCAGTAACAGATTCTGGTTTTTGCTCATGTCATTTATTACTAGTTCAATTCAAGTGACTTAAATAATTATGACTAATAACAGTGATGATGATATTTAGTATGATTGGTCTGTATACTATTCACCATGTAGCGTAAATATTTTGGTTGAACTTTTGTGGACACAGGACAAGAGGGGTCAAATTTAAGTTGTATCTCTTGTGTCAGGTTGGGGACAGTCGTTACTACATTTATGGCAGGAAGCCTTTTCCTTTTAAACACCACTATCAATTCACAAATTTAGTGACCTTGGTCATCATATATGTGCGTGTATACATGTTTTGACTGACCTTTCAACCACCCATTACCCATTAATGTTCATAGGTATATAACACCTTGATAAAACAATGACATCCTTGCTCTTGTATATAAACACATGCAACAAAATAAATACTTACTTTTCCCTTGCCAAAGTCCCTCAGATGACGAAACGTGTCAGCTATGAATATAGTTTTCCACTTGTCTTTTTATTCATATGTAATATATATACACACACAACATACATACATATATATATATATTGTCATCTTCAGACAGACTGTTTTGCTGTGTCAAAGCTGATCAGTGTGGCTAGATATCCGATTGCTTCAAGCCGTGATTGGAACCCAACTTATTCAGCAACAGTCAGAGATCTTACCCTAAGCCATCAGTACGCAGTTGAAAGAAAGGTGAATTTTTTTGTACTTATTCTGTGAATAAATACACCAATGATTGACGGTGCTCAGTTCAGGAAGAGCTTATAATATTAGTAGTATTAGTCATTGTTTACAAATTCGCACTTACCTCCCAAGAGTGCACAACTGAATTTAAGTTTTTCATGTGCGTATATATTGTCATCCACAGACTGTTTCACTGTATCACAGCTCATCAGTGTGGGTTTGTAAACAGTGACTATTACAGCTAATAATACAAGACTCTTCGGTAAAGCAAATTGAGCTCTCTCAGTCACTGTGTGTTTATCTAAAAATAAATGTGCTTAAATTCACTTTCATTCCTGCCATGTGTCAACAGCTTAGTGCTAGAATCTCCGACTGACGCCAATTCAAACTGGTTTCAATCCAAGCTAAAGGCAACTGGACGTCTAGCCACACACACACACACATATATATATATATATATATATATATAGTCGCTGCCTTTTTGTTATCAAGCCTGGCCATTGCACAACATCCTGCAAAGATTCACTCGTGCTATGCATGGACATGAACCCAGTAACATCCCCAAAAACGTCTTGCAATGTTTGTGCATGAAATTTTTAAATTGGGGAAAGATGGTGCACAAAGTCAATCCCATTCTCTGACCAACACAAGCAATGATCCGAAAAGAAGAGTACATTAATATTGCTAGTGTGCTGCAGGTGTGACATTTTTCTTTCTCCTACTTATATATCCTAACAAGGACTAAGAGCTCTCTCCCAATAATTCTCATTGGTGGCATTGTGGTGTTGATGAGTGACCTCCATCCACCGGGTTCACCATTTGCTTATAGCTGAGACCCTAACAGGTGCTACCACCCTGGATCAGGATAAACTTGGAAACAACAGCAATTAAGAAGTGGTTCTATGCTCCTTAAAATCTCCAAGCTCACGATCAATGGCCTTACTACCAGATGTAGCTTATCATCAAGCCCAGAACTCTCTCTCTTCCTATATATATATAATATATATAAATATAAATATAAAAGTGAACATTGAAGTCAACACTCAGAGGCGACAGGCTGTTTCAGGCCACCTGACGATTACGTCCAGCATAAAACAGCCTGTCGCCTCTGAGTGTTGACTTCAATGTTCACTTTTATATTTACATACGCTCTATCTCTGATATTGAGCACTTTATCCCATAAATATAGCACACCTTAAAACTATATTTCTTTAAAACTATATATATATATTATATATATATATATATATATATATATATATATGTATATGTATATATGTATATATATATATATATATAGTAACTATCATTATCGGGAGTCAACACATTGAAAGTTTTGTCTGAACAAATATCCTCAGATGCTTACATTATTTTTTTTCTCTGGCATTTAACAATTCCTTGTATGTGTTAGAATTTTTTTCTGGGCCATTCGTACATAACTATCATTAAAATGTTCCTTCACAAGAAGTGAGTTCAGGATAAAGGGAGAAAAAAAAAAAAAAGAGGTGAACAACGGAAGGTTAGACATTTTCCCAATGATAGTAATTCTAAGCATTTCTAAAACTCACATCTGGTATTTCTACATGTCTTCCGAAGTGAATTAAGAAATATTTTCTCTCACATTTTTTTTCTTTTTATTATCTCTTTGTTCTTTGCTTTCTCATGTTTTCCCATCAATCCTTTTCTTGTATTTTATTTCACACATTCCTTCTTTTTTTTCTTTTAATTCCTTTCTTTTTTTTCTTTTAATTTTTCTTTTTTTTCTTTTCCTTCCTTCCTTCGTTTCTTTTTCTTTTTTCCTTCATTTCTTTTTCTTTTTTCCTTCATTTCTTTTTCTTTTTTCCTTCGTTTCTTTTTTCCTTCGTTTCTTTTTCTTTTTTCCTTCGTTTCTTTTTTCCTTCGTTTCTTTTTTCCTTCGTTTCTTTTTCTTTTTTCCTTCGTTTCTTTTTCTTTTTTCTTTTTCTTTCTGTTTCTTTCTTTCTTTTTTCTTTTTCTTTTTTCTTTTTCTTTCTGTTTCTTTCTTTCTTTTTAATTTTTCTTACTTTTTCTTTTCCTTTCTTTTTCCTTTTTTCTTTTTCTTTTTCTTTCTTTGTCTTTCTTTCTTTCTTTCTTTCTTTCTTTGTCCTCCATTCTTTTTAAGGCTCTCTTTCTTTCTTTAGTTTAACAAATGAAATAATTTTTTTCAACATCAGTCATTATAGATCGACACTTGATCAATCATTTAAAATAATAATTTTCTAACTACGGTATTGCATTTTATACAGACCGGTTGAATAGTGTTTTTTAGGAAGTGTCTGTCACTTTCCTGTAGTTGATATATTAACTACAAAGTCATTAGTATTTATTTATTTATTTTTGTCTGGCATCAGGTACAACCCTTAAACATAAGAGATATATATTATCCCAGAAAAGAACTAGATTTGGTAATATGTTTTTTCCTTGATGTTAAGCATAAAAACATATATTCTTGGTAATACATGCCCTTGTTTCATATGTTAATATGTTGTCATATTGTAAAGTCCATGAATGTTGTAATCATCCATTTAAAGAGACAGTATCACAGAATGCAAAAATCACATTTAGTGATCCAAACAAAATGATGTAAAATTGGTTCCATACTAAGCTGACCATTTTAATGTCTATTTAACCTAACCATTAAAAATTGTCATATTAGTATGGAACCAATTTTACATCATTTTGTTTGGATCACTAAATATGACTTTTGCATTCTGTGATAATTTAATCTAGAGAGCATGTACGGTGGCGTAATGAATAGCAGCTTGGATTGATGAATTGGAGAGACGAGTTCAAATTCCAGTTGAATCCATTACATTCACTTATGTGTTAATACCCTTGAAAAAGGTATGAATCCTTGTCTTCTCCCCCCAGCTATGGGTAAATAGCAGGATAGACCGGGTTCTGTAGCCTTGGATGGCAACTGGTCTACCGCAGAAAGAAATGGCAACCTACTGCAGGAAAAAAAATCTGCCTCGTCAGTCATGTATCAAAAGATACATGATCGCCTAAGTGTATATCATGCATGGCACATAAATGACTGATTTAACCTAGTGATATTCAAGTCTTATGGGTGATTAATTCTATATTACATCTCTTCATTATATATATATATACACACACACATTAAGAATTGGACAAAGTCCGACAATTTATTAAAGACATTTTTATGTTTAATATTCTTTTTATAGATACAAGTATTTAAATAAATGCTCTGTTTATAATAAACAGTATTAAATAACATTTACTGGCCTGAATGTCCGAGAAATTTTCATAGAAAATATTCGTCCTTTGACAGGATTCGAACCTGCATCATATATATAAAGGACGAATATTTTCTCAGACATTTAGGCCGGTAAATGATATTTAATACTGTTTATTATAAACAGAGCATTTACTTAAATACTTGTATCTATAAAAAGAATATTAAACATAAAAATGTCTTTAATAAATTGTCGGACTTTGTCCAATACTTAATGTATGACGTCATTTGTTTACATTTGATACGCCATGAGCAGTTATGAATGTACGAGATTCATGGAAGATTGAAGTTTATAAGCAGTAAATTTGACCTTGCCTACCGAATGCTCCTTTGTGGCCGAGTCGGTTAAGGCACGTCAGCGTAAATGACGGTTCCATATAGGATGCAGGTTCGAATTCTGTCAAAGGACGAATATTTTCTATGAAAATTTCTCGGACATTCAGGCCGGTAAATGTTATTTAATACTGTTTATTATAAACAGAGCATTTACTTAAATACTTGTATCTATAAAAAGAATGTTAAACATAAAAATGTCTTTAAAAAAAATATATATATATATATATATATATATATATATATATATATATATATATATATATATATATATACAGGGTATCCATAAAGTTTGTGTGCACTTTAAAAAATTTATAACTTTATTTGTATTTGCGATAGAAATAATCTGTAAAAAAATGTTATAAAGTTTAATGTACCTAGTTTTAAGTAGAGCTAAAATAACTAGTTTGATTTCAGGCATTACTGTAAAAATCAGTTGGCAAATGTTTTCCGTGAATTGCAAAATCGTATTACCTTTTGTATTGTTAATGATGTGGAAACTTAAATAAAATTTCAATAAAACCTTAAAAAATATAGATTTACTTCTTTCTAATCCTTTTTACAAATTATTTCTATCACAGATACAAACAAAGTTATAAATTTTTTAAAGTGCACACAAAC